CAAGAAGATGATTTTAAAAAGCAACATAAGAACGAAGAAAAAATATGGTATTATAAATTAGGTTATAATCAGCCTTGATACCCTCAACAAATAAATTTTTAATTACTTTGGCATAGTTTACAAATAAAAGGATCAAAAATGTAAAAAAAAAGTACCAGAAAGTACTTATTTTAGTTCTGTTGGAAAAGACAACTTTTCATTAGCATACAATGGTAATTCACGAGTGAATGTCAACTTGGAGTAAAACATTTTCAGCACAAAATATTTTTGACGAACGTACTGAAAAAAAAAAAAATCAAAGCAAGCACAACCCTACACACATGTTATTTTTTGTACCCTTATTCATATTGATGGTTTAAGCAGATTTTTTTTTTTTATTACCTTTAAAAGAAATAATGATAGATATTATTTTTCTAAATGTAGATTTCTTTTACTGTATAGTTTGATCTAATATTGAGTAGCTTTTATTTTCTAAAAAAAAGTAATTGTAATTACTTATTTATGTAAATTTCATATAGCATAACATACTGATTTAAGATATATTTATATATATTTTATTACAACAATTCAGATCTTGATATGTAATTATTGAAGTACAAATGATACAATAGCAAAACGTTATTATAGGAATCATACAGAAAGCTGTAATAGCAATAATAGTGAAATATAGGATGTGAGTGTATAATTGTAATTGTAATTATTATTAAATCATAGAAGTGATTATGGAAGTGTAATAACTCCCCCAAGAATAGATTAACAAACAAAAATTGCAACTAGGATAGTATGTGTGGTGAAAGGAAAGGAAACTCTCACTCACTCACTCACCCAACCACACTCATGGACACACACACACACACACACACACACACACACACACACACACACACACACACACACACACACACACACACACACACTCACACACACACACACACACACACACACACACACACACACACGCACACACACACACACACACACACACACACACACACACTCACACTCACACTCACACTCACTAAAAAAAATTAAAAATGCTTGATACCCTCAACAAATATAACCAATACAGTTTAATCCCTTTATGAGTTTGTGTTAAAGATTTGTCAGTCCTTTCTGACAATACATATACATATTCATATTCACATATATACACATATACAATACATATATATATATATATATATATATATATATATATATATATATATATATATATATATATATATATATATATATATATATACACACACACATACACATATATTTTCTATAAGTAGGTATGTACTTGATTCTTTTATTCTTGAAACTTTTGATCATCCTTTAGGTAACATTATCAGTTTTAACATATTGATAGTCACAAAGTAAAGACATTTGGCACAAAAAAATCTGGTTTTATTATTATTTGTCTGCCAAGAATAGCTCTTATAATTTTTCTTTTTATGAATCAAATATTGTGACAGATTTTGGTGCCAAAAGACTGTATTCAAAGGACAGACTGATATATATGTTCAAAAGTATGTGAGCATGAAAAAATAAAATGTTCAAAAATTTATATTGTGTCACATTTATACCTTTGATATACCAAAAGCAATGATATCCAGGTTCACTCTCAATCACTCACACTCACGGACACACACACACACTTACTCACATTCACGGACACACACACACTCACACTCTCTCACTCTCTCACTCTAACAGCAATAATATCCAGAATCATATATGGACACAGATGTCTTTTTTACTATTTCTTTATCATAGAAATAGTAAATTACTGTAAAAGAAATTAACTACAGGCCTCAAATGCAAAGACATACTATATATATCAAATAGCAGAAGCCGTTCTGTAATTTTTTTGCTTGCTTTGCTTCAACATGAGAAAAGCTTTTAAATCAGAACTTTTCCTTTTATTCTTCTTCTTCTTCTTCTTCTCCTTCTACTTCTTCTTTTCCTTCTACTTATTATTATTATTATTATTATTATTATTATTATTATTATTATTCCTCTTATTCTTATTCTTCTCTCTTTCTTTCCTTCTTTCTTCTCTTTTTTTAAATAGTTAGACCTGAAATGGGAACTTACGAAGGGACTAGATATTGAGAAAGCAAGACTCTCACTGCTGATTACTATTATGTGGTAATCTCCTTTTTTCTCTGCTATTAATGCAGGAAACGTAATAACTTGAATAAAAAAAAGAGAATTAACATGATACACTCATTTAAAAAAATGAAAAATCAAATCAAATATATGAAAGCAAAGTATATTATAGTTTTATTTTAATTAACTCTTTCTTTTTGGTTACAGTTGATAACAGGGGCTTGTGTACCCTAATACAGGTGGGCTGTGCTGACCCAGCAGTAAATTGCCCAAATTGTGTATCTATAGATGCACCTGTGTGTGTGTGTGTGTGTGTGTGTGTGTGTGTGTGTGTGTGTGTGTGTGTGTGTGTGTGTGTGTGTGTGTGTGTGTGTGTGTGTGTGTAAATTAGATAATTAGACCAGGAACTTGCACACATCATAAGTTGAGTTGATATTTTAATCTTGATAACGAAATCTTACTTTAGGCAACCTTTCCTCTTTTTCTTATCCTCCTTATCTTCTTATCAGTCCTACTTGTGCTTCGCTATTACCTGGAAAAAGGAATCTCTTAAATCATCGTAGGTATTCCTGGAGAAGACACAATAATTCCTTTCTGTGTAGATAATTTATGTCGTTGCAAGTCTGTCTGTTTCTCTGTCTGTCTGTCTGTCTCTCTCTCTGTCTCTCTGCCTCTCTCTCTCTCTCTGCCTCTCTCTCTCTCTCTCTCTCTCTCTCTCTCTCTCTCTCTCTCTCTCTCTCTCTCTATATATATATATATATATATATATATATATATATATATATATATATATATATATATATATATATATATATATATATATATATATATATATATATATATATATATATATATATATATATATATATATATATATATATATATATATATATATATATATATATATATATATATATATATATATATATATATATATATATATATATATATATATATATATATATATATATATATATATATATATATATAGTTATCTATCTGTCTTTCTCACTCTTTCTTTAAGCTTTATTTTTGTTCGTTTCATTGCCTCTGATAACTGTGGGTCGCCTTTCTGGTCAAACATTCAGTGATGAACCTAGAATTATATTTACCATGACTCATTGAGAGTTATAAGAGTAGAAATAAAACACTGGATAATATGGAAGGTAGCTTAACGCAGTAAAAAGTTATACTGCAACTTACACCTTGTATTGCTGATTTGAACAGTTGGCTAGAGGTTAAGGGAGGCAAGTTCCTCTCTCGCACTTGCTGATTCCACATTCTGGAGGACCTCGACAGGAATGTGCGTAGAATGGTCTCAGTTCTCGCTAATGAACGTGGATTTATTGACTCTGGTTTCGACTATTCCTGGTGGTGTAAGCTGAGGGAACCGCGGGTCGTAACGAATGGAAGTGAGCGCTGTTCTGTTGGTGATCTTAGTAGCACACGCATGATGCCGCCGTGTCCCTTCGGTGCTGGGGAGACTGGAAGCAGACAGGGCGATCAATTTCCTGTATCTTTTGAGTTCCACAAGGCGGCGGGCATGATGTAAAAATGTCGAGGTGGGCCAGGAAGGATGGCAGGCAGGACGACCATGCGAGAGGAGAATATTCCATCAAGTAACGAACTTATGAGTTGTAGAGCATGCAACGACCTCTGCTGCCTAGTAGATGGGCGATTCAGCGTACAAACTCCAATTTACTTCTTGACGTGATTCCAAGGATGCTGATTTCTCTGGTCTGATCGAGTGTTTTCCCATCAGTGCTAATGAATAGGGATAGTGGATTCGGTCGACGGGATACTAACATGACCTCCGTTTTGTCTGGTGTAAGTGTAACCTGCCATCGTCGGCAGTGGCGTGGTGGCTCCTATTTGGCTGGGGTGGCACTAGTCTTTTTGGGCGCCCCTTTGAGAACTGCGCCCTTGGTATAAATGCATTTGATTAGGCAATGGTAAGGCTCCTAACAAGCGTGGGTCAGGGGCTCAAATCCATTAAAAATTTTGAAAACAATGTCACTGCGCCACAAGAATTAATTTGATGCATTCATCTCTGTTGTTTTGAGAACAACAGCCCCAAATTTGTTCATTTCAGGAAAACTTAATTGAGCTAGTCCGTTTCTGTGGCCGCTTTTAGAGAAAAAAAAATAGTGACTTTTTCATTTAGGAAGAAACCAGGTGGTTTGTAAGCGTTATTAGGAGGTGGCCGCTATTCAGAGGTTCACCATATAAGCAATGATATGCGAACGTGTTTGGGGCTGTAGGTTAGTGGCCATTCTTGGGAGGTGGCCCCTAATCGGCGGTGGTTGCTATTAGAGGTTGGACTATAGGCGCCTTTTCGGAGCGCTGTAGATTTGTTGTACATATTTGCTTTCAGTGAGCTTTTGGCGCCTCTTGGAGAGTTGAGACGCCTTCGGCGCCCCCTGCTTTTACTTCGCTGGGGGGGCCCCCCCGGCCCCCCCGGCCACCACGCCACTGATCGTCGGCCCCGTGAGATGATGAGGGATGACATCACTGATATCTTCAAGGGTGATAGTCCTTGGGGTACACTTGCACTGATCGGGTATTTTCCTGAAGTGTAATTGTTTGCCACAACTTGCAGAGTTCTTCTCCGTAGATAATCTTCAGTCAGCTTCAGTAGGTCATCATCAGTGCCAAAACATTTTAGTTTAGTTTAGTCTTTGTGTCATACTCTGTCGAAGGGACATTCACTGTCTCTTCTTTCTCTCTTCTCTCTCTTCTCTCTCTCTCTCTCTCTCTCTCTCTCTCTCTCTCTCTCTCTCTCTCTCTCTCTCTCTCTCTCTCTTTCAATGTGTGTGTGTGTGTGTGTGTGTGTGTGTGTGTGTGTGTGTGTGTGTGTGTGTGTGTGTGTGTGTGTGTGTGTGTGCATTTATACTGTATATATATATATGTACACTTTATGCAAACACATACACTGGGCAGCTTGCATGAATATACTCAAGTCATCTACACAATATTCTTTTCGCGTTCTGTGGAACCACATGTATTTATGTATCTAAAATAAATATTAATTCACTTCAGAGATTTAATACTAGACCTCAGTTCAAGATTAACATCTAATTTTAGATTAGCTTTCGTAGTCACGTCTATTTTCTATTTGTTTATGACCCCCCCCCCCTTTCTCTCTCTCTCTCTCTATCATCACCATTGTTTATTACTATCCTTGTTATATAAATCCTTTTTACCATTAATATAATAGTATGAGTCTATTTTTGCATTTTGAGAAAAATATAACATCCGTTTTCAGGTCTTATTCATATGTTTCATTTGTTTTCATTATTTATATATATTTTTGTCGAATTGGCGACACTTGTGAGATCGTATCCCTTAGCATTTTGTTATGTTGCTTCCACTGATCATTTTTAGTAAACTGAGATTATCATATGGAAAGAAACTGTGATTTAGAATAATTTCCTTGCAAATACGAAACATAACGCAATTCAATATTTCATGTCGAAGCTGTCAAGGTATGGACATGGACATAATATGACTTTAGACAATAAAAAGACAAAATTTAGATGTTAATGCATTCTCTTGTGAATGTATTATGGTCGCACAAACCGTCACATTTCACCTTCTTGATTTTTACAGGGTGAGATTTCAAACACACACACACACACACACACACACACACACACACACACACACACACACACACACACACACACACACACACACACACACACACACAACACACACACACACACACACAGAATACCCGGACGACACCTAAAGGAATTGCAAATTCACAGACTGGTCCGAGTGTCTTTTTTTCATTTTATCACAATCATTAGTGCTGTTATTATTATTATTTCAATGAGCTTATTATTGGAGAACAATTTAGAAGGGGCCAGTCATAATAATGATTTAGTTAACATTATAATTCATGCATAATCACGTATCCCCTCCCTCGGTCTGTGTGCCAAATGAGCATACAGTAAACCCCACTGTTCAGTACACGAATTTCAAATTTAAGATGAATCAGTAAAAGCCACGAAACACCAAAGTATAGACTGAATTATTCCTTTCCATTACACCTATTAAACCACCCAAGAAAATACGCTTTTTGTTAGAAGTACCAGACACAATTATTGGGTTGTTTGGCGTAGGGTATCAGCTGGCCATATTCCTCGTATTAAATACTAACCTTTACACTACATACTGTCCTTAACTACCTACATACGGTATACACGGGGTAAGTGTTCAGGATATTTTCATGATAAGGTTTCATGTGTTGGTCTATCAAAGATTATGAAATAAAACAGAGGATTATATAGATAACAGAATGTAGATAAATTACCAGATTACAATATATATCTGTGTGTGTGTGTGTGTGTGTGTGTGTGTGTGTGTGTGTGTGTGTGTGTGTGTGTGTGTGTGTGTGTGTGTGTGTGTGTTTTAGTAAAAGACTGCATGTTGGTTCTACTGACATTAAGGATTATGGAATGAAACAAAAGATAATATAGATAACAGTGTATATATAAGTAACAAATAACAGTATACATATAATTAACAACTGCATGTTGGTCTGCTGACATTAAGGGTTATGCAATGAAACAAAGGGTCATACAGATAACAGAATACACACACACACACACACACATATATATATATATATATATATATAGATAGATAGATAGATAGATAGATAGATATAGATAGATAGATATAGATATATATAGGTAACAGATAACACTATACATAAATAACAAACTGCATGCTAATGGATTCAAAGTAGCTTAACACACGACATCTTGCTTGAACCACGTCAGTAGATCAGCAGTATTAGCTATCCCGCCGCATCACTATAACAAGTATGTGTTTCATGCTTTCCTATTACGAAGATAAGCAAAATAGGATGCGAGATCAGAAAAGAAGGAGGGAGGGAGGGAGAGGGAGGGAGAGAAAGGAAGGGAGAGGGGGGGAGAGAAAGGAAGGGAGAGGGAGGGAGAGAAAGGAAGGGAGAGGGAAAGGGAAAGGGAAAGGGAGAGGGAGAGGGAGAGGGAGAGAGAGAGAGAGAGGGAGAGAGAGAGAGAGAGAGAGAGAGAAGAGAGAGAGAGAAAAGAGAGAGAGAGAGAGAGAGTGAGAGAGAGAGAATAGAGAGAGAGAATAGAGAGAAAGAGAGAGAGAGAGAGAGAATAGAGAGAGAGAATAGAGAAGAGAAGAGAGAGAGAGAGAGAAAGAGAGAGAAAGAGAGAGAAAGAGAGAGATACAGACAGACGGACAGACTATATGAACTTTCACACAAAAATAACAGCTCTCTGACAGAGAGAAAATAAGACCTATAAAATCAACTAACAACAAAATTCATTCTTTCAGGGTACATACTAGAACAATCTTTACCCCATATTACAATATATGTCTAGGTTTCAAATATTAATAAATATTCCCATAAGATTGCACATAACGATTAATATGAAATAAAGTAAAAATTCACCAAGAAAACACTGCTGGTGCTCAGTCACTGCATTCCATAAAAACGACAAATAAATAAAAAAATGTTAAATAAGTAAATAATGTACTGTCGCGTCAAAATTTGTTGTTAAATTATTCGAATTCGAAGCTTAATTCTCACCACGACTTCTGTCCATGTCTGTACATGTATATTTGAATTGAAAAAAAGAAGAAAACACTCATTAATTCACAAATAAACAATGAGAAGGTAACGTTAAGTAGGGTAAGGCAAGGCTAAAAGACCTATGTAAGAACACAAACCGCAGAGACCGATATATACACAGACACGCATCCGAAAAGTCTTTTTTTTTTCTTAATATGTATAAGTCTCCCTAAACCTCCTGAGGACATGTTCTCGGGCTGTGACTATAGGATACGTAGAAGAGGAATCCAGGGGCTTGATAAGAACAGGGTCGTCTGGGTGAACGAAGAACACCACGGAACGCCGAGATACCTTCATGCGTTTTTCCTCGCTGGGGATCAACACCCGGTGTTCCTTTGGCGTTGCCGGAGAAATGGAGGGAAAAAGAGAACGAATGAATTTTTTTCTTTCTGTGACGCGTGTCCATTTTATCTCAATATGATTGGATCTTGAGTAGGTTGTGTTTTTTTTTTTATTATTATTTTATTTCAGTATACTTACGGTGGCGATGAACTTGTCTGTAGTCCAGAACTGAAGGATATCACCGACGTTGACGAGTATGGCGCCGGGGACGGGGTCGGCGTTGACCCACTGGCGCTGTCGATCACGAACCTAAACGTTTTGTCATTTGTTTGCATTACTACATGCCATATAAAAATAGTTCTTTGTTATATACATTATCTATAAGAAATAATACATCTGAAAATGTTGAACTAATGAACAATGTAGCTAGGCAACTTAACAGTCCCCCCAAAAATGTAACAACTTCAAGCAACGAAACCAAAAGCAAGCCTCTTCTCTTTCCCATATTGGACACCGATGCCTTCAAAGCTACCCTCGCATCGCACCTAAACACACTCCTCCTGACCTCCAACACTAGCTTCCAATAGTAAATTACCTGCAGACCGCCAATATCATCCTGGAAGAGAAGTGTAATCGTCCCGTAGTCCGTGTGGGCTCCGCAGCGGATAGCCTGAGCCGGGACAGACTCGGGCACGGGTGGGTAGTGCAGGAGACGCATGCACGAGGCGTTGTTATCCGAGCAGATCTCCTGGTGCGTGTCCACGAAGAACGACTCGTCCAGATCTGTACGCATGTTGTAAATGCTGGGTTTATATATACATAAAACGCAGGTGTTGGATTTATGGTGAAAAAGTAATGTAAATAATGTGAATAAGATTAAAGATGGAATTTCATATTTACCTGTAGAGATATTGCCTCATATTCCAAGAATGACAGAGAGAGACAGACAGAGACAGAGAGAGACAGACAGGCAGAGAGTGACAGAGAAAGCGGAAAGGCTTAACTTGAGAAAAAAAAAATCAATCAACAAAACAAACAAGAGACAGAACACAACCCCTCATCCCGACCTATTCCCAGCGCCATGGCCTTCAGGATGCGCAGCGACAGAGCCTTGCAAGTGTTAATGAACGCGTCAGCATCTCGGCGAAGGGAGGGAACTTCTTCATCCGGGAACGTGCCGTCACTGCGTTTAACATCGTAAGCCTCTCGGAGTTCGTGCTTAAAGTTCGCCGGGTCAAATCTGTTGAGAAATATCGCTTTAAAGATCAGTGATTTTAAACATTTCGAAATATCACGTTTGGATCTGGTTAAAGTTGAGGTGGCCACTATCCATTTTTTTTTTTACTCTGGTATCGGTATCGGTTAGAAATTTCACATTAGACTTCGTTTTTACTTAGAGATTTCAAATTAGACCCTCAGATATTAGATATTTAGTACATATTTCTATATTAGATATATATTAGATTTTTATTCACATTAGATCCTCAGATATTAGATATTTCTAAATTAGATATTTCCCTTCAGACATTGGTTTAGCTTCGAGATTTCCCTTCTGGTCCTGATTGCAAGGTAAAATTATCACCTTTCGACTGGTTTCGGTTTAAGATTTCACCTAAGACTTCTGTTTGTTAGAATTTTCGCTTTTGGCTCTGGCCTCGGTTTAAGATTTCACCTCAGATTCTGTTTTGTTCGATATTTCATTTCTGAACCAGAAAATTTTTGGATTGGTTGAAGATTTCACTCCAAATCCTGGTCGTAGGGTAAAAAAAATCATTTCAAACTTTGGTTTCAGTTAATGATTTCAAGTTAGAATTGATTTTAGTTTTAAAATTCTACTCTAGATTTTGGTTAGTTAAAGATTTTGTTATAGATTCTTGTTTACATTTTAAAAAGATCACTTCTCCTTTCAATTTATTCCCCTTCCCTCTATCCCTTCCCTTCCCCTTCCCTCTTGTCCTCCCTCCCTCCCTTTCCCTCTCCCCCTTCCCTTTCCCTCTCCTCCTTCCTCCCTCCCCCTTCCCCTCCCTCTTGTCCTCCCTCCCTCCCTTTCCCTTCCCCCTTCCCTTTCCCTCTCCTCCTTCCTCCCTCCCCCTTCCCCCTCCCTCTCCCTCCTTACCCTATCCCTTCTCCCTTCTCTCCCTTTCCCTTCTCCCTCCCTCCCTCCCTCGTACCCCTCTCCCCCTTCCCTCCTTACCCTATCCCTTCTCCCCTCTCTCCCTTTCCCTTCCCTCTCCCTCTCCCTCCTTACCCCTATTCCTTCTCCCTCTCTCCCTATCCCTCTCTCATACTTCTCTCCCTTTCCCTCTCTCCCTTTCCCTCCTTTCCCTCTCCCCCTTCCCCCTTCCCCCTTCCTCCCTCCCCTCTCCCTCTCCCTCCTTTCCCTCTCCCTCTCTCCCTATCCCTCTCTCCTACTTCTCTCTATCCACTTCCACGTATCCTTGCTGCTTTTCCGGATTCCTCGTATACTTGTTCTTGGTCTTCGGGTCGAGAGCGAAGAACCGACCTCCGGAGGACACGAGCGACGACAGCTGAAGACGAAATAAAAATAAAGAGAATGGTTAAGGTTTGATGGTTAAAAGACACAGGTGCGTTAGATATCGGAGGTTATATTGTACTAGGAGAGAGTATTGGTGGCCCAAAAAAGAGGTAAAAGTGAGTTCAAGATTAGGATAAGTGGATAGAAGGTAAAGGAAAAGGGGAGGAGAAAAAAGCATGCAGATTTAGTTGAGGCGAGGGATGAAGTCCAAGGCAGGACTGATTCCCTTACATTGGGCACTAGTCTCCGTCTCCTGACACCCCCCCCCCCCCCCCCGCCACACGACAACAACGAGCAAGGGATTGGGGGGCTCTTTTTGGGGGGCTCTTTCATATTTTTTCTCGGCCTCTTTCTTCTTCTTGGCGTTTTTAAGATTTTTTTTTTTTTTTGGCCTCTTTAGTATCTCTCTTTTTTAAATATTTTTTTAGTGGCCTCTTTAATGTCTTTTTCTTGGCTTCTTTAATATTTTTTTCTTTGTCTCTTTAGTCTTTTTTTCTTGGCCACTTTAAGATCTTTTTCTTGGCCACTTTAAGATCTTTTTCTTGGCCACTTTAAGATCTTTTTCTTGGCCACTTTAAGATTTTTTTCTTGGCCACTTTAAGATGTTTTTTCTTGGCCACTTTAAGATCTTTTTCTTGGCCACTTTAAGATCTTTTTCTTGGCCACTTTAAGATCTTTTTCTTGGCCACTTTAAGATCTTTTTCTTGCCCACTTTAAGATCTTCTTTTTTGCCTTTTTATTTATTTTTTTCTTATAATCACACCTCACCTACTAACAAACTCCGCCTCCTCTATCGATAACCCAGCCTTTCCCTCCTTAACACTTCAACCTCAACCTAACGACAAACCAAACCTCACCTGGGTTTCAGGAACGCCGTGGTTCTTGAGGTAAACAAAGCCAATGTTCTGGAAAGCTTCGGCAACCGACTTTCCGACGCGAAGCCACTCCTCTCGGCTTGGCTCGGCCGCGTGTGCCAGGCCTGAGAACGAAGAAAGGGGGAGCCATTGTAATAATCTTTATAAAAAAATCATCGTCATTATCATTACTGTTGCTGTTATTACAACACTACCCTTTGTTCACTAATCATTATACAATAATCATTATCAAAAATCACCATCATTATCAATACTGTTACTGATATTACTACATTACTCGTTTTTTATTTATCCAATAATCGTTATAAAAAATCATCGTCATACTGTTGCTATTATTACTACACTACCTTTTGTCCAATAATTATTATACAATAATCATTATCAATACTGTTGCTGTTATTATTACACTACTCGTGTTTTTTTTCTTAATCCAGGAATCATTATACAATAATCATTAACAAAAATCATAATCATTATCAATACTTTTGCTGTTATTATTACATTTCTTATTTTTTTCCAGCACAATTCATTCACTAAGGATCAGGGTTACCATTATTACCGTCATTTTACGAATGCGACGCGAGAGCTATGACTTCGGCGTTGATTGGAGTCAAGTTATTTTATGATTTCCTGTTAACCACGATGTAAGAACCCATATAGAATTGCAATACAAGTAGTAGAGTTGCAAAATTGATGCATTCATCTAATTATTTATTCAGTTTTTATTTATCTATTTATTTCTGTATTTATTTTTAATTCGTATTAGATGATGTAAAAGATAAAAATCTAAACAAAAGGAGTTAGAGAAAATTTCGCTCGTAAGGAAGTTAACGTATTCTCTAGAAATTCGCGTAGCCTTCAAGGTTTATCAGCAGGATGGCGTTAAAATAAAAAAATCGAGTTACTGAGAGACTGATGAAATTTCAAGGATGGTTTTCTAATGGACTAGGACATATCTGGTGGTCATTCTGATCCACGAAACGAAGTTAAACAATTCGCAAACAATGTGGCCGGTGTTGGAAACTGGGATATTCATTCGTTTTTAAGTTCTGTATTATGCTTTGATCAAAAAGCA